AAAAAAAAAAAGTGAAGAAAAAATGACGAGGTTCGAATTTACACCTTGGTCCGTACGCCACAAACACGGTGTCCCGAAAGTATTCAGAAGTACCTCGGAACTGCGAAGCGTTGTACACGCGCGAATGGATATCGTTCTCGCGATTAATCACCGATTAGCCGACAGGGCTCGACGGTGACATCCGGTGATGAGTCGGAAGCTGCATCATCCTTCCGCCGATGGTTCTCAACCATCTTCCCGAGCTCGACGACATTCGATATAGTCCGTCCGTGCCACTGTCGACCACGCCGTCTTTTTTCTTCTCTCTCTCTCTCTCTCTCCTCCTTCTTCTCTTCCTCTCTCTCTCTCTTTCTCTGAAGGATACACCGACAAGCAGGTGCAGACGAGAAACGTTGCCTTGCACGAATCGGCTCACGATCACGACAGAATTTCGAGCGGCCTCAGCTCAACCGAGAGCGATGGCGTGATCGACGATGGACGTGATCTCTCTATCGAGACGCATACACGTCGTCAGGGTGGGCCCGTAGCACGAGCGATGGAAGTGTGTGTCTCTTCCCCGAAGAGCCGGGCCTCTCTTCCTTTCTTCCCTTCGTCAGATTATTCCCGATGTTTTCGATTTCTCTCCTCGAGAGTTCTCGCAAAGTCGTTTTTACTTCAAACTCTTGCTGCGCCGCCGAAAGCTCCTCCGGGTCTTCCTCAAAAAGAATATCTCGCTTAAACCAAGGAAGTTTCTTCTCGTCTCTAAGGATCCTGTTGATCCTTCCGTAGTTCTTTTTTTCAAGTCCGCCAAGTTCAATGGTTTTTTGCGTCGGGTAGGTCGTGAGCTCGATAAGCGGGGTCGATCCTGGAAACGATAGCAATAAACGGGAGTGAGCGAGAGTGACAATTGTCGAGCGAGCGGGGAGGAAAGGAGAGAAAAAAAGAAAGAGTATTGTGCTATAAAACATGCCCACGTAACGCGTTAATGAACAGGACGAGTAAGAAAGACAGCGGCGTGCGTTACGTCAAACGCGTTACACGTTACGTTTGACGCATTTGCATTCGTTGACGAGCTCGTAACGCGCGCGACATCGTTCTACCTCATTTGTGAGGTAATCGGCGGAATCATTAGCGAACAAATGATTATCGATACCTCTTGTCCGAGTGATATAAGAATAATAACTGACAATGGGATTTGAAAGTGGATTCGTCATCTCTCCCTCTCTCTCTCTCTCTTTATGTGTATAAATATACCTTATTTTTATACAAACTATTATTATGTATTGTTCTTTTTTCAACATCATTGCTTAATTTAACAATTATTGCGATTATTATTATTTCGGTTATTGCGATATATTTATTTCGTAATAAAAATAAAATATCAAATTATTCTGTCGTTTGTTTTCATATCATTATATAAATAAAATTGTTTTATTTATATAATAATATAAAAACAAACGACAAAATAATTTAATGTTTTATTTTTATTACGAAATAAATATATCGTAATAACCTAAATAATAATAATAGCAATGATAGTTAAATTAAGTAGCTAATATAATTGTAAAAAATTGTTATAAATGATAAAAGGATTGTAAATATATAGTACGCGCATAAGAAATTAATTTTACATCTTTTAATATACGCTATTATATTTTTTTCACACAACAGCATATATATATATAAAAGATATAAAGAGAAACAACACAAACGTATCTTCATAATCTTCATTTTAACAGAACAATATTACCATTGTGGCACGTTACGAGATAACACAATATACTCGCAGAATTGCGCGTATTGTGCTAGAAATATTTTCATTATACACATTTCCGTATATACGTGCAGTATTAAACAGAGAAAAATATAAACTACAATTTCAATTTTACTGTATAAAAATGAAGATAGTCGAGATAATCAACGCAATTCAAGATTAAAAATTCCTCTGTAAAAATCACTAAAATATTAAGTTACTCAACCTTGATCATTTGCGAGATAAAGGCATTCTTATGCCAATCGAGAACTTACGCATCGTAGGTGGAATCTCTTAATCAACCATTGTTTTCCGAAGGGCAGCTATATACATATATGACGTATCCAGGGTGTCTACTCAAATTTTGTAAAAAAATTTCCTGAAAATTATCTAATCTTCCAAGTATTTTTCTTCAAAATTCCAGATAAAGAGAATATTTTTAAAAATTTTTGGCGCTATTTCCTAAAATAAGTTAACAAAGGAAAAACACACTTAAGTTTCAAGTGCTAAATTTACAAATATACTGAAAAAAAAAACAATTTTTGTCAAGATAAAAATTTTTAATTCGTATAACATTTTCATTTTTTATCACTAAAAATTAAAATAAAAAATATGAACTGCATATTCAATATTTTGTTAAGACATTCAATATATAAACAGAAAGATAAATATATATTTATAATATATTTTAAACACATAATTCACAATTTGCCTTACAATAACATTGCAAGAGCAAAATTATCAGATTATCAATATTTTTTTTTTAAATTCCCCGGGTCCTAAAATTCCATAAAAATTCCAGGTTTTCCAATTTTTTTTCCAGGGAGTAGACACTCTGATATCCCTACTCTTACGAGCAATAAAATCGCGCTTTCTGTAAAGCATCCGCAACTAATGACAGGTTTCGAAATCGCCACTCCGCAACACAACAACTGTCGTCGTTCCCGTCGTCGTATAGTAGGCCCGCGATGTAACCACGCGCATCACATGGCGTCGCGCTCGACGAAGAGAGGCGCTGCCATTAATACAATAGCCCCTCTGGTGCGTGCATGCGCGGCGCATGTCCACACGGCCCATTCTCCTGCTTCCGAAACATATGTAGACCGTGGGCGCGTTTAGGAAAACTCGGGAGATCGATATCGTCGTCGGCTGGTCGGCCGTCTCGTCGACGACGATGCTCCGCCCGTCGCGAATTTCTGCGATTTACGACGTATCACGTATCGCCGAATATTTTGTACTTTCCTTAACCGAATTAAAATTAATTAAATTTAAAAATATACAGTTGGAAAATTTATGTCTTCTTGATAAAAAAAATATACCGGTTAAGATTTTTGTGTTAAATATTTAACACATTTATATGTTAATTTAATATATTGCTGTTGTATTAATTGAACTCAAATATTATATTATTTAAAAAAAACTGAAAAATATGTATAATAATATATATTTTGTATATGTGTATAGAATAATGATTTTTTTTTTTTCTAAGTTAATTATATTATTAAAAATATGTTGATTCTACAAAATTGATTTCAAGTTATTATTCATTTTGTGTTGAAATATTAACATCACCATTTGACATACTTATATTAAATTAACACAAAAATTTGTGTGGTTCTTCTGTTAAACTTAACATAAATTTTCCAACTGTGTAAGATATGACAAATTTGTAGCCAAGAGAGATTCATCAGATAATAGAATTTTACATCATAATTTCGAAGTTACAATGGCTGACGAATAAAAAGAAAGCGAAGATATAATACAATCGACGCGTAATTTAAAAATTACGTTGGTCAATAATTGATTAAACAATTGAAGATAAAGATTATTTTTATAGAACTTTGACTCACTTTATTCGCTTAAATTCAAACGAAATTAATTTTTCCTCAGAGTTTCAATTCATTAAAGATTTTTACAATTCATTGACTTGAAAAATAAACGCTATTATAAATAAGACAGATAATTTTTTTTCGTTTTATTAAAACACAAATTCCAAGAATTAAAAAATATCAGATTTATTAAAACGATTAATCTTCAGGAGCTCTAAATAAAATCAAATTAAAAAGATATCTATTTGTTATTAAATAAAGTTTTTTAAATAAAGACAGATAATTCTTTTCCTTTTATTAAAACACAAATTCCAAGAATTAAAAAATATCAGATTTATTAAAACGATTAATCTTGAGGAGTTCTTAATAAAATCAAATTAAAAAGATATCTATTTGTCATTAAATAAAGTTTTTTTAAATAAAGACAGATAATTTTTTTTTTTTTATTAAAACACAAATTCCAAGAATTAAAAAATATCAGATTTATTAAAACGATTAATCTTCAGGAGCTCTAAATAAAATCAAATTAAAAAGATATCTATTTGTCATTAAATAAAGTTTTTTAAATAAAGACAGATAATTTTTTTCCTTTTATTAAAACACAAATTCCAAGAATTAAAAAATATCAGATTTATTAAAACGATTAATCTTCAGGAGCTCTAAATAAAATCAAATTAAAAAGATATCTATTTGTCATTAAATAAAGTTTTTTTAAATAAAAACACAAGATAATTTTTTTTTCGTTTTATTAAAACACGAATTTCAAGAATTAAAAAATATCAGATTTATTAAAACGATTAATCTTGAGGAGTTCTAAATAAAATCAAATTTAAATGATATCTATTTGTCATTAAAAAAAAGTTTTTTCTACGTCAGCAAAATTCAGGTCAAGGTTTTGGGACATTCTTTTCAAGGATTAAAATATCCTTTTAAAATGACATTATCCCATTTGAGGCGCGAGTAAATATTTTAAAACGTCCATTATATGGTGCATAAAACATTTTTCTTGCTATATATTAAGTGAGTCATCGTTCACCGAGCCGTTACAAAAGTGTGATTGCGAAAATCACGGACACACACGGTCACACAGCGTGAATTTAGAGGCCGAGCGGCGTGTGTTTTTTCGGCTTCGCGCGTACTTGAACACACGCCTCGTCATTCGTCGAATTTGCGCGCCTCAAATGCGCCGAATGTAATTAATTCGGACACACCGCGCGCGCGAATCGCGTTGCATTGCGTACCTAAAAGGAGCGCGCTGAGTCGTCCATCATCATTTTCAGATCTTCCCCAAAACAAATCTGTATAACGCTCGCTTCGGGATACTTACGTCACGCGAGAAACACGGCTCAACTGACAATCGCCATTTTTTACCCCCGTATCATTTCATCC